TAATATTAAAATTAAAAAATTAGATACAATTTGAATTTAGATTAAATTTTTGATGAGTATAGATGTTATGCACCATAGGAATACTAATAAAGACTTTCAGAACCTGTTTTAGTAAATCTGTAAAACTATAACTGCATAACTGTCTGGTCTCTCATTTTGTAAAGCTCCAATATTATTCTATAAAGTTGCATTTATAATGAAATTTCAGATATTATTCAAAAATATGTCCTGCTTTAGTTATTGCTTCTTTCAAGATTGATCGTTGTTCACAAAGTCAGGTTATAATAATATTATTCTTCATATATAATAGTCTAACCTTTTTAGATTAATTTCATCATATTTTTCAGAACATTGCTCACATGTCAAATGAATTCCTTTTGTTGGCCAAAAGTTAAATTCCTTGATTATTTGCTTAATACCCTTTGGTTACCTTTTTAATTGATAATTATCTGGAAATATTATTGATTGAACACATTTCTCACCATTTTTATTAATGTATCAACTATCATGCATCTTAGCCTGCATTCCTTTAGAACTTAAATTCTTATTGCAATAAGTGTATCAACTACTATAGTATTATAGTTTATTAATTGATCGAAAAAAACTTACAATATATCCTGGATGTAATATCTTAAATATTGGGATTGCTTAATATACAAGCTACATTTGTAATTAAGAGGATTTTTTTAAAAAGATTTTATATATATTATTCTAGGTAGATGAATAAGAAAACCCAAACCTAGTCTAATATACTGTATGTTCTGACTTCTAATATCTGTTCGCTTGTATAGATTGAAGAACGAAAACTTCTTTGTCTTTGATATATAAATTTATTTACAAATATTCATTAGATAATCATAATAATTTGTGACATGAATAAAGAAAAGCTGAAATTATAATAGAGCGTCCAATGTGCTTCGAGCGTAGAATATTCTCATCTTTTCTTATCCAGATTTTTTATTACCTATCATTTGCATAAAGGTAATACTCATCATGTATTACTTATACTATTTCCTTCTCTTTCAGCTTAAGCTGTAATTCTAAAATAATATCTAATATATTGCTATTGAAATCTTTCATAGATTTCTTATATTAAAACATTCTCTTCAACTATTTTTTTCTATATATTACTACATCTAGCCACTCATGCCTATCATAATAAACTCTTTTTTTTTCTCATTATATTTATATTCCCATATATGCATATAACTTCAGCAAGTTCTTTCAGAAATTGTGTCTTTTTTTATATATCTCATCAATTTTAAAAATACTGTTTTCTCAATATATATTTTTAAGTTTTTAGAAAAATGTGATTCAGGTACTTATTGCTGTAACTATATCTAGCATTCTTCCTTAAAATTCTCATCATCTAACAAAGTTTTCAATTTTATATTTTCCTTAATGATAAATAAATAAGAAGCTCTCCTGTTTTTATAAAGTAAGTTTCTCATTTTCAAATACATTTCATCATATAATCGCTTTTATTTCACATAATTTGTGCAATATTATTGCTGGTATTTATTTTACTTTGTCTATTTAATAATAGCTAAATAAACCTGTGTATGTTTAATCGACGTAAATAATCATAGGTAAAAATTTTTTCATTTTCTTTTACAGATTTTAATAATAAACATTATTTATTTATTTCTTTTAAATGTATATTAGATTATTACTGGAAAATAAAGAATCCTATTAATTTCTGGAAATAGTTGTGATGGTGACAAAAGTAAAAAACTTTCTAAAATTGGACATGATGAAGATACTTTTTCAAATGCTTTTTCAGAACTTTTAAAAAATGTATTAAGTGTTCTCATTTCCTTTGTAGCTTCTTTTAACTCCTCTTTTTTTATTTCTTTCCTTCAGATTGTGATTCTCAAATTTTCAGTATATGCTGCTCTTATGCTATGAGTAGCATCTTCTTGCTAATGAAGAGTTTCAGTGATAAGCTTCTTTCCTACTTTCTCAAATTCTCTCAAGTCTTCTCTAATCCAATCTTCAACAATTCATCCCCTTCTGTTGATTCAATAATAACTTCATCTTTCATCTATACTTTATCTTTTTTAACAGCTTCCACTTCTTTCATGGTAGTTTCCTCCATAATAATTTGACCTTGAGATATATAGCATCCTTTTTTTTCTAGGTATTTTGCCAACTTGCTTTTGCCTCTTTGTTTTACGTATCATTTTAAGAGTATGATCAGTTTTCAAATCTAAATGTAAAAAATAATTTTGTTTATTGGCTTAAAAAAAAATTAATTTATCAAGTTAAAAAAAATATCCGAGTATAATTAATTGTAAATAATTCGGGTCGGAGTTAAATTATTATAATGTTGGCCCGATTTATCGTAAGTTCCAACCAATAAAATTACGTTCACGTGATTTGATATTGTTTCAAATTTGGGCCGATCATATAAAAAATCATGCAATTTTAAACGCTTATAACTTTTTATCTAGATCTTTTTTCGGAAATCTAACCGGTAATTTAATAGTACTCATCTTAAAGTATAAAGTTTCCGGTTTATTTTTTTTAAAATTTTATTTTTTTAAAGTACTAAAAGATTTTTAAGTATTACAATTTTATTGTTGAGTATAGATTTCCGGCACCATATTAAAAAAGTATAGTAATAGTATTTATGAGGAGACGCGACAGACGCGTAACATCAGGTGAGTATCAGGTGATTACTGGCCAATCATAATTATACATACAAAAAAATTACGAATCTGGAATAGTTGTGCGACGTATTTCAAAGATATGAAAAAATAGTGAGAGGAGTGTTGTTACCACGCCGTGGAGCTTCCCTCTTGCTATTGCATAACGACCCAGGGCCTATGCTCAAAGTCTCAGTCTTGGCTGGTGTATCTAGGACCCGTAAGCCCTTTGGTTGATAACTTGCTGAGGTCGGGAATCTGGAATAGTTGTGCGACGTATTTCAAAGATATGAAAAAATAGTGAGAGGAGTGGTTACCACGCCGTGGAGCTTCCCTCTTGCTATCGCATAACAACTTTGAAAATAGGCTCTGCGGTTTCAGTTTTGGATGTGATGAAAGAGCAGTGTCTTAGGTCAATGCACAAATCCGGTGACCTTTCTTTTAGGTAAAATAGAGTTGTAATATTATTTCCGCAACTCCAGTTCACGCCCGAAGTTTTCTTTCCCTATTGCATTGTCAAGGCATATTCTGTTCGTTAATAATGATTCGAGTCTGTTTTTCGATTTTCTCTTTAATTCCATGTTCTCGGCCTTGAGTTCAGCATTCTACTTTCTAAGTTCAGCAACCACAGTCAACTTGGAATTCAAATCTCTCAATGAATATAAAATACAGATATACATTTTCATTTTCCGATTCGCGCCATATACAAAGCCCGATTATGTGAAAAAGCAAATTTTTTTTATTAATTTTTTAGATATATAAAGAAATGCTAGAGAAGCGAATGAATTTTATGATGCTATCAAAGAGGTAGGGAGTACACGGATCCAAGGCCATTTAATGCGAGTCACAGCATCACATTTATTTCTTTGCTCTCTCGGAAAATATCTACAGCTAATTTTTTTCTATCTATATTGCTAACTACAAGATTCTCAACACTATACACTTTTTTTATACTAGACTTTCGAAATAAATAATCCCACCCATATCTACAGAATATTTGTCCATCTATATCACTCTCACCCATGTAAAAGAATATGTTCCATAAGAGAACTTTTCCATGATGAATTAATTTCGAACCTATAGCATCGGAAATAAGTATTTGCCCATAATTTTCGATAAAAAATAAACGATACACTACTAATTCACTTCATTTCATCCTTACCACTATGTTTCATTTTTGTAGCATTCCACTCCGCCAAATATTTGAAAAAATTGTTGCTTAATGACTTTTGTATCGAAAGGACGATATGGTTGTGATTGCCGGAAAATTTACTGCTTGATATAAGGCATGTGACGATGGGGTGGTAGATATACTAATTAAATCAAATAAATGTATAGACATATATATCAAGTTTATTATTTTCGTGATCGACATATTAACTAATAAATTAGTTTTTTATAATAAACTTTGATATTTTTTAAACTTTCATAACTTTGGATTCTTCTCCTTTATTTTTCATTCGAATTCTGCGAAAACATTCGAAAACACTATCTCTTTCATGAAATAGTTCTATTTCTTAAAAAGAACTGTAACAAACATATAGTAAGCTTTCTAACGGCTTCTTTATAGGAAAATTTTTTTTATTGAGTAATTTCAAAAAAGGCGTTCTATTTTAATTTTCAAGTTATTGTGTATTCGTTTGTATTTTTAGTATTAATTAAAAGTTAATATAACATGATTTCTCAAATTTTAAAGATTTCGGATTTTTTAATGGACAAATGGCTATCACAAAACAAGCCCGCCATTTGAATAGAGCACGTGAAATACGTGCTCAAAAATTAATAGAAAAGAAAAATGAAAAGAAAAGAACTGAAAGACGACGTTCTCTTCATACAACAATTGATCAATTATTGGAAACTGAAGTCAAAACAGCTCAGCATTTACTAAACAAAATGCGCTACTCCAAAGGTTCTCAAAAAGGACGAATATTATCACTTTATTTGCAAAATATAGCATTATCAAACATTGAAGATACTCTTTATAAAGATCTACATCAAAAAGTTCAAGAATTAGATCATAAAAATAAGCAGCTAATTCATTTAAAAGACCAAAAGAAGCATTATATTTCAACAATTCACTTACTAGTTCAAAGATCAATAACAATATCACTAGTTGTATTTAAAAATTATGTTAAATCATTATTTAAAGAAAATAAGAAACAATATTCAGCAAATACAGTTTGGATGGTAAAAAATGACACATATTGGACAGATTTCTATGCAATCAACAGTAGAATCTATGAAATTATTTTATGAGTTTTTAATTAGAGAACCACCTAAAACTTGGTTATTACCGTACCGCACTGCTTAAAATACCCCTCTTTAAGAGTACCCCCACATTAATAGACCCGGGTATTTTATTAGATATAAAAATATTTTCTTAGGTTAAGACCCGGGTATAATTCAATTTTAATCGTAGGTTATTTGTATAAGATCTGGGTACTTATATCAACATTAATTTTATTGATAATTTCATTACATACTGTATTTATAAGCATTTATTTGTATTTATTTAATCAATTGTTAAGACTTTTGTATTATATTTACTATAATAAAATTTCATATTTTAAAATTTACTGCGAAAAAATCATTATTTATTTAACTAAAAATTCAATACTAATGCCAATCCTGAAGTACATTGTGCTCTTCACTTTTTTTATAATAATCATCCTCTGATTCAAATTCACTACTATCCGATTCACTATTATCATCTGGTTTATAATCACTATCGCTACTTTTATTATGATTTTCATCATCTTCTTCAATTCCTCTCCCATAATTATTTATATTTTGTACTTTATTGAAATTGAAAATTAAACTATCTTCTGACCCATTAATTGCATTTGAAACTCCACAACATTTGAATGAACGCATAATAATATTAGTATCAACAGCATCTCAACTTTCCTTTACCCAATTTGCCACAAGTAAGTAAGATGGTCTTTTAATTTTTCCAGATGGTGTATATTCTTTGATAGCTTCATTCATCCAATGGTTATATTTATGTCACATCTATTTTTATTTCAAACGAGTCAATGTAATTTATTTAAATATTAAAAACTAAATAAACAAAATTACCTTATTTTTAAAAGGTTTATTCAATGATACATCAAGTGGTTGCAAGCGGGAAGTTAGTCCACCCGGAATGATAGCAAGATCAGTATTTTTTTCGCAAAACCATTTTTTTATAGCATCAGTTTTATGTGCAGTAAAGGAATCCAATACCAAAAGAGATCTTGGATTGACACCCCGTCTTGCACGTTGTGTCTAACATTTTCTATCCACCAAATCATCTCATCTTCAATCATCCAACCTTTTAGATTAGCACGAATAATTACTCCATCAGGAAACTCTCCTCGCAGAATATTTACAAGTTTAAAGATAATTACCAGTGGCAATTTCGTTCCATTAGCCATACAAGCTAAAATAACGGTAAAATTTGCACGTTCATGCCCAGTTGATAAAGTTGAAATAGTTTTAATACCACGCTGTTCAACTGTTGTATTGCTTGGCAAATTAAATGCCAATGGTGTTTCATCTATATTTGCAATTAAAGATAATAGATATTGATGTTCTTTTCTACGAAAAAGCACATATGGGGCCTTTGCAGTAGAAAAGTCGGAAACTACCCCAAAAACGAAAAATAGATTTTTGCTATATTTGGGTAAATCTTGATATGGGCTACATTTTTCAATTATAAATGGAAATTGATTTG